TAGACATGGTCAATACATAGCACGTATGAAAAACAAGCAAAATAATATTTTTAAAAAATATATTGTATTTGTAAAGTCATCAGCATGTAGGTGATGTAGCATAAAGAAAAAAATAAATACACAATTACCTATAAAATGGCCAATGCTCATTAACAAAAAGGGAATAGGAGCAAACCACCAATACTATGCATTCTGAAGGAGAAAGTAAGAAGATACCAACATAAAAATACTTTAGATGAGAAATCCCAGAAATATGTATGTAATGGAAGTGACTGTGTAATTTATACTAAAAGGCTGCTACAAATAGTATTATTGACACATCATCTAGGAAAGTGGTCGTTAATGAAGGACTGATATTGTGGTAGATCACGTTAGCCTGGCTACTAAAGTAGAAAACATGCCACTAAAGTTGCCCACTCCTAGTATAACCTTACAGTAGTAACAGTAACGAAAGATAATAAGGTAAATGAACGAGGGTGAAATAAATGTCAAACCATCTCTATCTTAATGCAGATATCTTGCATTTGTACTTGTATATACCACTTGTTTTTTTTAAATATAATGAAAGTAGAAACATGACACACAATTTAACTCATAATTCAAGCACAGAATGTGCCTGTGCAACCATATGGCCTTTCAGTGTCTTTCAGCTCATGGGTCAATCACCCTCTGTGGTGTTTTGGTTGGCTTTGACCTGGATCGTTAATTAAGTATCCCTTCTCATTCAATATTGCCATACATATTGCACAAAAGAGACATACAATCTAATGTTCCATGATAATGAATATGAGAGTCCCTTGAATGCCAGAGGTAAACAGGGTTTCACTAAAGTGAGAATTCAAAATGAATTTCAACTTTAAAGCAAAAAACGTTCTCAACGTCAGCTATATTTCTAGCATTACATTTGAAATTATCTTTGAATTCACAGTTTAACGAATAACCCTGTTCATGTGTTTATATATTATTGCTTTTTAAATTTGAAAACAATACTTTATTACTCAATCAAAACTGCTACAAGAATGGGATAAACGTTGAAATAGAATGACTGAATACACCAGCCCCACGTCAATCATATTGTCCCTTTAACAGAGCCTGCACTATAGGGTTGCTGGGGGATATGTTGAATCCAGATGTCACTTGCAAAACAATATTCAGGGATATAATTTTTAATTGTGGGGTAACAGTTTCTTGAGCCAAGGAGATAGCCGACTGCCATTCTGGGGGGAAGCATTTTTTTTATAGTTTGTAGCAAAGTTGGAAGTGCTTCAGAATCGTATTTTTTTTGCCTTTTTTTGGATCAAAAGCTATGTAACTCGAGCTATGTAGCTTATCAAGAAAAATTCTTCAACTCAGCTAAAGTCACAATTTGGATATATTTGCCTCAGTTTTCTTATTCAGATTTAATTAATGAACATTTTTAGTTTAGTGAATTGTTCTGTATGTGTTTAGATGCAAATTATTTACCCATGTGCTCACATATACCGAAGGTAAGTGAAATGCTGAAACTTCCCAATTTGTTAAATCTTGATGCAAAGGAAAAATATTCTTGAGTATTCTTCAAGAGTATGGATTAAAGAGTATAGGTATGAGTATCAGGTAGAAGTCGGTAGTCAGGCAGAAAACAAGTAATGTATGTAGAAGAGTTTTTGTTAAATAGAGAGAAGGTGTATAGCTCTTTGCTATATTATAAAGGATGAATTATTTATTTATTTATTTTAAAAATTCTTTATTTTGTCATGACAGAGGTTGCAGTTCATCAATTGGGCTTATGCAAAAGCTGCATTGTATTACATTTATTCATGGTCATGCTTTACAGAAAGGAAAAAAATATGTTGTTAAAACATGTTTGATGGCTTACATTGGTGACCGGTTAGTGTGCCATCTGTCAAGGTTTTAAAAACCCCAAAATGCTTGAAAGCTTCTATGCAAGTCGTGGCACTAGCCACTTCGCTACAGCAGGCCCAAGATAGTGTCTTGTGGACAGCGTCTCCAGCCTCCAGCAGTGATCTCTTTTGCAGTAACTGTAAGCTCGTTTGAGCAGGGTCCTCTTCAACATAACGTTCCTGTAAGTTTTCTTGTAATTGTCCTATTTATAGTTAAATCCCCTCTCTCATAATATTGCAAAATGCTACGGAATCTGTTGGCGCTATATACATGGCAATAATAATAATAATAATAATAATAAATAATAATAACTGCCCCTGTGACAGAGATCCATACAGTGAATGCTTAATTCAATTAAATCTCTGTGCTCCGACATCTTCACACTCTATACTAAACTCTATATTAAAGCTAAAATTGAAACTTTGGGCTACTGCACCAACTAGCTAGAAGAAAAGACAGGGGGCACACAGAAGCCCATAGTTCCTCAGCAGATGCCTATACCCCACCTGATTCTAAACTACAATCAATTGAAAGTAAAATGGCAGATTGTGAAGACAGAGAAAACCTAAACAATATTTGTATTAGGGGTACCAGTGAGGAGTTGAAACACAGAGAAGGCTGCATATATACAAGATATGTTCCAGGTGTTCTTCCTAGACACCTTAAATCAGGATTTGCTTTTAGACCTAAGGCCCTTCCTGCATTTTTGCATAACTCGCATACACTTTTATGGCATTATGGAAAAGATCATAGAAGCGAGATCCAGTGATCCTTTTTCCAGCAAATACCATAAGATACAATTCTTTAACGACCTTTCTTCTGATACTATGGCCAACCGTCCCTCCTTTGCACCTATAACTAGTGCACTTTGGGAGGCTGGTATACTATACATATGAGTTCTCAACCAAGTTGCTGGTGTAGCAAAATGTAATAAAAAAAGCTATACTAATCCTTGAAGATGGCAAAAGATAATGAACCAATAGAATATCATCCATGCTCTGGCAACCTCCACTTCATCTACAAAGCCTGATTTCAATATCTTTATTGTGCATTGTTCTAGGTTTGCCATATGTATGAAAGGGTCTCATTGTGAAAGGGTGCGATTTTTACTGTTTTCTACACAGCTACTCTGTTTAGTTTTATTTTATGTTTGACATTAACAATGTTATTTCTTTCTGTTAATCATCGCAAGAACATGGTGTATTCAGGTCTATCAATATCTATTCAGTAAAAGGACATCTATTTGTGGTACACTGGGACACTGACATTCTTTTTAGGTTGACCTGGGTTAATATCCTCTATTGGTTTGCTCCTCTACATAAATCCATATCTGAGAGAAGCACCCCTCACCACCAGTATCCCTGTTGTAGAGGGCTTTGAAACTGGAATGCTAGTTTCTTTGTTTCTTTATCTCGCCTTAGTAGGATTTTCAGTGTATGGTCTTTTAGCATTTTAAGTATGTCTGCATATAGCTCCTTCATGCCCAGGCTACCCAATCTGTACTACAACATAAGAAGAGTATAACATTCGGATTCTCGGGCGAGATACGCTATAATGGCCCTATACAGCGACCCCCAATGTAGAACCGTGGGTCCTGGAATTAAGTTTAAATGGTTCTGAATTTCCAATGGTACACGCCAGGGTTGTCCCTTATCACCATTATTGTATATATTATCGATTGAGCCCCTGGCAGTAGATATAAGATCTAATCATGGCATAAAAGGACTTTGAGAAAATAATAACCAAAAAATCAAGTTATATGCTGATGATGTATTGATAACTATTCAGAAACCCGAGGACTCCATTGACCAAGTGGTTGATACTATCAGAAATTATAGCAACTTGTCTAATTATAAGATAAATAACAAAAAATCCATAGCGTTATATTTAAATACATCTCAAGATAATATGGACAGTATAGAAAATAAATATGGATTTAAGCAAGCTAAAAGTTATTTTAATTATCTGGGTATAAAAATCTCCAAAAATCCAAAGAAATGGATAGAGAATAATATTCTGCCTTTAATTAAAGAAACTAATCTTAACCTAAAGAAATGGAAAACTCTGGAAATCTCCTGGTCAGGGAAAATAAATACACTAAAAGCATATATTGTACCAAAATTCTCGTATATTATGAGAATGATTCCTATTAATATCCCAGACAGTTGGTTACAATTAATTCAAACATCATTTACCAAATTTATCTGGGCAGGTAAAAAACCCAGAATTAAAAAATATATTATGTCTAGGAAAAAAAATGAAGGAGGCACGAGTATTCCAATTATCCAAGACATTGCACAAGCTAATGTATTAGTGCATGTCTTAGTGATAAATAAGGAAGACTCTATAAATGAGAACTGGTATAAAAGTGAACAGATGATGACCTCGGGTGACAGGGATTACAGAACTCTTTTATGGTCAACTGATAAAGAAACAAGTCATTGTATTAAACATTCCAAATTGTTGATAGTCCAACAAACTTTTCCCACCTGGTCTCTATTTAAAAAAAAAATTGGGCTAAACAAGAAGATAATCCCCAGTATAAAATGGAATCACAATTATTAAATGGAGTCACAATTTGGCTAAAGATATACCAATGAAAGAATGGAAAAACTCCCTCAATACATTATACAAAGTTTGTCATTGTCTAAATATACATGAAACCCATTACAAAATATTAAACAGATGGTATAGCACCCCCTATAAAATAACTAAAATGTACCCCACAGCTCCACCTAACTGTTGGAGATGCAATGAATTAATCGCAGACTTCAAACATATTTGGTGGGATTGTCCGAAAATTAGACCTTTATGGGAAGAATTAGATCAATACTTATCATTTTTACTGGAAACAAAGATTAAGTTAACTCCAACTATGGGTTTATTACATATGGATTTGGAAGGGCATCAATAAAGAATCAAGACCTATTATTTTTCACATCTTAATGGCTGTGAAAAACTCAATAGCCAGGAACTGGAAATCTTCAAAGCATTATTCAATGTAAAATGGAAAGGGCCATTACTAATTTTGCACTAAATAAAGGACATTACTACACTTACTGGAATAAATGGATTAAAAAATTGGACCCTCAACAATTAAGTTTTTCTTCTTTACCCTCTCTTTTGTTTGGTGGGTTTTTCATGTTTTTCTTTTCTAGCCATATGGTTTCCATTCATTATGGAAATATATGGGCCCCTATCCTCGAGCCTGATATGGGAATTTTCTTTATCAATTTTGTTTTCTTAGTTCCACTGCGAACCAAGCAAATGTCTTTCCAAATGTCTGTATGTTTGTTAGTCAGTCCGTCTTGTATTTGATTGTCTAATAAAATGATAATAGTGTTAAATAAATAAAAGAATGCAACAGAAATTAAGCAGATAAGGATAGAGAGAAAAAAGAGAAACTGAATAATACATATGATGATTTGGTATTTAATAACTTCATCTATGATTACTCAAGAAATGAAACAACAAATACCATATTCTGATGTGAAAAAAAAAAAGAAGAGTATAAAATGTTCTACGTCACCTACAGTCTACTGGTCATTGAGACCTTCTTCTCGAGCTGGAAGCAAAGAAGACTTTTAACAGACTCAAATGGGCATACATGCACTCGAGCCAATTGCTGTTAGCATTAGATCTCACTTGGCTATTTGTAACAGAAGGGTTGGTACAATAGAACTTTGTTTGCAGACAACATTTTACTAACTTGTCCAATTTCCCCACCACGTTACTTAATTTGCTGTTCTTACTTACTTGATCTGGTGACCTATCTTTTTACAAATTAAACACATCTAAAACACTAGCTAAACCTGTATCAGTCCTTTCCTTTTGAATGGCAGTATCATTACTTAGTTTACCTAGGTATAAACATTACTAAATATTTTTCAACACTGTTCAAACAATATTTTCCGTTTCTGTACAGTCTCAACAAACAATAGCCCCATAGAAGTGTCTTATGATTTCCTGTGCTGGGTATATCAATGTAGCTAAAATGATGCTACTACCACAATACCTGTGCTTATTTGGATCCTTATCCAGTCTGTTTCCTCCTGAATAATCAAAACAAAAGAAACTCCTACCTAAGGGCCAAATGCAGTGTGAGGGCTTCTATGCAGCTACTCCAACAACCCGCTGCACAAAGTGGTATAGGAGTTCCAAATACTTGCCTATTACAGGGCAGCTATTTTAGCACAGGCAGTCAACCTACATGTCAACTTGTGGATACTTCAATGTGTAGACATGGAACAATATGCCTTTCCAGGTCAAGCTCTAATATAATTCATATGCCATGGCACAGCTAGGTACTAACCTGCCCCTGGGTGCCCATGCCGCCCTGGTAGCAGAATCTTAGTTCTCACTGCTCCTGAGAGCTCCTCTTCTGGGTCTGCGGCGGTTCCTTCTATTCCTCTCACCGCTGAGGTCCGTGGCGAGCATGCTGTCAAGGCAAGATGGCGGCCGCCTTGCGGACCCAGCGTTCTGCACAGGGAGCAGGAGAGTTGCAGATCCATTGGGGAGGAACAGGTCAGGGACCAGGGAATAAAACAAGATGGTGCCGAGTCCCTGACCTCTTTATATAACATCTGTGTGCCCCACCTACTGGTGGGAGGTGGCCGGTCCTGTGATACCAGCTACCTATTTAAACCCATCACACCTTCCAGTCAGTGCTTGGTTATTTTGCTTTTTGCTTTATTGCTGCCTTTTGTCCTAATCTTCAGCTTCTGTTCCCGGTTCCTGCTTCCTGATTCCTTGGACAGCTACAGCCTGCTTCCTGACCTAGATCCAGATTAATTGTTTACTTCTGTCTGCTGCAAGACTGCATTTTCGTTTGCTTCTCCTGCTCCAGCTTCTGTTCTCGGTTCCTGATTCCTTGGACAACTGCTTCAGCCTGCTTCCTGACCTAGATCCAGATTAATCGTTTACTTCTGTCTGCTGCAAGACTGCATTTTCGTTTGCTTTCCCTGCTTCTGCCTTCTGGAAATTTATAATTTTTTATTGAAGGCCTCCACGCCACCACAGACCCTTTGGGACCCTGTCTCCACTTCCAGGTGGCCCTAAGGGTCGTGATAGTAAGGGAGTGCTGTTCCGCTGCAAATTGGGTTCCATCCGCTCCACGACTCTCCAGGTGGGTGTGACATCATGTGGACTCTGAAAACAGAGTACACGATTAAGGCCTTTCAGCTGAAATCAAATAAAAAACATAATGAAAAGTACTTAAAAAAAGAGGAAGAGGGACTCAGGATCCACAAGTATTGGTGCAATTACTAGTCTGTGCTTTTGAGGGCACCTATCATTAGATCCCTTACAGCCCTTATCTTACTATATCCTAAGGCTACCAATGCAAAATCAGCTGAACAGAAAATAAAAAATAAATAAGTAAATCCAAAAACCAGTAACAATCTCTGTGAATCTCTGTGTGTGGTCTCATCTAGTAAATAGTTATAAGAGGTGTATCGTAGTGCAGCATCACCCCATATTGGCATGACCACATACAGAGTCTAAAAATGTACCTCTCTTCTGGTATCAAAAACTAACCCACAATTCCAATGTGGACCAGCTCTGCTGGCTCGCTCCTACTACAGTTGAACTGTTAACTGTATCTTATAATGCTTTTATGAATGGTTTATCTAACTTTACCCCACTATGTCAGCAGGCTTGCAAGAAGAATTGTGCTGTAAAGTTCTTTCAGTAACAGCGGGTTAGTGCATTGAACAGATTGAAGATAGTAATTTGGTGTTAAAATCATATTGAAGCTCACCCCAAATTCCTATATAGATGGTACCTTACACAAGACAAACTCCATAGAATTTACCTATCAGTTATTCCCAACTGTTGGAGATGTTTACAAGGCACTCCATTTCACATTTGGTGGTATTTCTAGAAAATGTTCCTCTTTTGGGCACCGGTCCGCAACTTAGTGGAAACCTTGTGCCCACATAACGTGCCCTGGTCCCTTCTCTCCTTAATTCTATTCTTCCTATCAGCCCCACCTTTTGTAGTGTGAGTCTTGATCAAACATAATCTTACAGCTAAAAACTCATTTGCACTTCATTGCAGGAGCTAGATTTCACCCACATATCATGAATTTCTCAGTAAAATACAGACAAACTTCTCTTACAAGGGGATGTCTGCTCTTACCCTACCTTACGTAAAGAGGGTTCATGCAGTAAGGTTCTATTCCCAAGTATACAATTTCAACATGCCAACCCTGGTACAGTAAACTAAATATTCAGCTTAGTAGAGCTTGGCAGCATTCTATCTAGGCTGCATCTATTGTTGCCCCGGGTCGCCCACTGGTTTCACCAATCCACTGGTGCTGGTGTGGTGGGGTATTGGGTTTATTGTACCAATGAAACTTACACAAGGAAAAGAAACAGGTTATTTGTCAACTAGTTAATGTTGTGGGACAAGCTAAGGGTCAGGATATCAGATATTTTAGTGAAAGTAAAACTAGCCAGGGTAGGGGTACCACAATTCAGTGGCGGATCCAGGTGGGGGGGCAATGGGACAATTGCCCCCCGAAGAAAATAGAGCAGGCCGAGGCTCTCCCCTGCCAGGACATGCAGGGCCGGTGCTATCCAAGTGATCAGTGATCTACTTCCCCAGCCCACAGACACTCTACTGACAGAGGTTACCATGGCAACACTCCCCTCTCGCGAGAGTGAACTCTAGCCTCACCCCCTACCTGACGCACACTGCGCACACTGACGCTGCCCAAGTGGTTCCCAACGTCCTGGACTTGTGCCGCAGTCCATGAGTGACGCGGGCCATGGATCGCTGGCTTCCACCGATGCTCCGCCTCCAGTCTCATTGCTGCGATTGGCTCCCACTGCTCCAGGGCTCCTTCTTCTCCGCCTCGCCTACACGTCACTTGGACTGAGGCTGTCCAGCAGCCTGGTTCTCCGAGATGGCCATCCTCTCGGTGCTGGTGAAGGTCTCGCTGACGTCCCTGACATCCCAAGCTGGTCCTGGATCCATCCGATGCCGCTCTGCTCCACCATCGACCGGACATTCGTCAAAAAGACCTTCACTGGGTCCATCTGTAAAAGAAAAGAGGGAGACAGGAACCCTACAACTACAGGTAAGGGTAAGTAGATTAAAATGGCCACTACCTAAAATGGCCAGTCTATACCCCCCTTAAGCCCACCCCTATTAGCTTCCTATGACTGCCTCCTAGCTCTATCAGGGCCCATTTCTTCTACTATGTCGCTATATGGGCTACATTTCTTACACACACTCACACTGCAGCCATTACACACACTGCAACACTCACACTGCACCCTTCACACACACTGCACGCCTTGCACATTGCACCACTCACACACACGCCACTGCTCCTATGCCCTACTACAGCCCAATGTCCAAGCAGACCCCAGGTAAGTTGTCACCACAGCACTCCTGGCACCGTAACCATTACACAGAGCTGTAGTGGTTATTGTGCCTGGATTATTTCTTTAAATAATCTACAAGTGCCCCTCCTGAGATCAGGCTCCGCATCAGCCCCTGCCACAATTTGATGTAAACAAAATACTAGCCAAGGTCTAACAATCACAACACAGAGTTAAAGCTATGGCAGAGTCAGAATAAAAGCTAGTTTCACACAAAAATATATAATTCACACTTTCTGGCAAACAGGAACCAAAAAGGGGTATCTGATTCTATGTCCTTTCTATCACATGACAATTATAACACCTCCTGGAAATCCTACATGCATGAGCAGTGAAACTACAGGGATGTATTAATCATCAACTGATATCACCCACATTTATTATCAATTATGAGAGCAGGCAGATGGCAGCACTGGAAAGGCAAACAAAATCAGAAACCTTTTATTGGATAAAGACTGTATGATAGAGAGTCTTTCTCCACAAAATTTCAGCAGAATAAGTAAAGTTGAAGACCATGTACTTGTGAAGTGATTAAGAGTATGAATTACAGCTCTTGGCATATCTCCTCATTCCTATTTCTATAGGCTGCCTCTATCTGCCGTACAGAAGAGGTTTTAATGTTATAGGACCTTTTTTCCAGGATATGGATGTAGATGACGATCAATATGTGGAGTTGGAGTATGCCTCTAATATAGGATAATGGGGAGATTGGAGATGAGAGTTGGGTAGAGCACCCCCCGGGTAGATGGGTGAAGGATACAGGTTATTATCTGTATTTTGGTTTATTAGCATATTAAGATACGTTGTATTGTTTGATAGACTGTTGTATGTTTTTTTTAATTTTTTTTATGTGTAACCTGTCTCAAACCAATACCTATGTTGAGTGTGTTGTATGTAATTGATTTCTATGTATTTTGTGATAAAACTAATAAAAATTTATACCA